AAATAATCAGAGAAATCAAATATTAACCTTGTCGATATTCTAATAGGTCGGGAGGCACTAGTTTAGAATTGGAAATTGTGCATACCTAATGAGTTCAAATCTATATTAGTTATCAGTATTTTAGTCGTATTAAAACTAAAAAAGTATCATGAATTTAAATAGCAAATACGAACTATTCACAGCGGGCACCGAAAGGAACAAAAAAGTCCTTATTCAGATTCTAGTCGACTTAAACTATTAAAGCAAAAAAGATATCATTGTTCTCGCATGTGTTACTGACTACTTACATTTTAATGTTCTTTTCTGAACAAGCTAACTATTTTTTTATTACACTTTCTGATCTCAGTTTTGATAGTCAATATCTTCATATGTATTCAAAAATCATTTTTTTTTAAATAAAAACCTCAGTTAAAACTAGACTAATTAAAATATCCTTTCATTATAAAACTTGTTATTACAAAAGATTATGCGGTTGTAAAAAGATAGTCATGGGAAAAGTGTTGAACCTATGACACAAGTTTTATATGATAATATATGTCTGCGTCATTTGATTACAGATTTGTAACTAATGTTCCTTGTCGCGACAATTAGATGTGCTTGACCAGGATTGCTACACTGCTTTTATATTATTTTGTATCCGTAAAAGTCATTTTCAGTTGTGTCAATTAAAAATCTACATCTGAAAGTTGGAAGCTTTTATCTTTGGTTTCGAATATTTCGTCTAGTTGCCACTGGAAACAATTATAGTATCGTCTTTTTTTTGTTTCATCTGGTTGAATCGTTACTCAATTGTTGTTGAAATAAGATAATGAGAGCTGTCTTTCAACAAAAGACTCGGAGATTATCACTATTATGTAATTTGAGTGTGTTTTTAAATAAAATAACAGATGATTTTTATTCTATTCGTACTTATCAAAATATGATAGAATATGTTTCAACTTTTTCTGTTCTTTAATTGTTTCTTGTCTTTTTTGAATGGGTTTGGGGTCCATAGAAAAAAAGCTAATAAAAACATCTCGATTCGGTTTAGTTCGACGTACTCTCTCAAAAAATGTATTCGAAATCGATTTGATCGAACTACAGCAGATTTAGAAGAACGTTTATCTAGTAAGAGACAATATCCATGCTACGAGCATTATTAGCTTTGCTAGTTTCATATTTCCAATGGTGAAAATTCAGTATTTTACAATTTTTTGGAAATATGATTCTGGATATTGGAATTTTCATTATAGCATTTGATAGAGCTTGTTAAGCCGCAGTTCGAACACTGAAAAGGTGTTCTTAAACAGTGTTCTAGATGGATCGCCACTAATATCACTCGAGTCTACAGCTAACTTCAGTTACGTGGATATGATTATCAATATGAAGACTGTACAACAGTGACTGATCCACCGTCGATGATCGATGATATTGATAATCACATCATTCGTTCATGTGATGGAAATCAATTATATTCTCGGTTCGTCTACGATAATCGGTCTTCTAATTGATACAAAGATATTCGACATCATTCATTAACCATTCCTCCACGATTATCGTTGATATAAATTCAATGATGACAACATTTGAAAGGACCGATTCTCTTCTATTCAATTGATCAATTATTCTTTATGACATGACATTGAATAAGTACTCATATCAAACTTTTCTTTGGAAGCTTCAACATGCATGCATGGTGATGATGTGTGTTAATTCTTTTAACATAAGATGACTATGGTTTTAATTATAATGCAAATCATTCGTTAGCTTGTCATTTGATAGTTAATTATGTATATATTGATGATATATATGTATTAGTATAACGTTTAAACTATTCTAATGAGTTAATTAGATTATTTCCTTATTTATTGGTACAATGTTTCGAAGTCGAAATACAATTTAATGCACGCGGATTACTTAAAGAAAATGATTAAACGATGTTGACATGACAATATATTATTCGATATAATTTAATAGGATATGAATTATGATTTATATTCCAACAAGAAATAGGGTATATTGCTTTCGTTTTCTTTTTCGATGAATAAAATTTAGAGAATACAAAAGTGTGGGTCAATTTTTTCCTATATTCAAGAAAGATGACGCGGCATTCGAACCATTCATGAACGGCAGCATTTCTCACAGTAATTTTTCCATAATGTGTACATCATAGTTGTAATCAGTTAAGAAATACTAGATCGGTCTAAAAATATTTCCAAGTCGACGAAAACCGGCGAGTTTACAAAGTTTCTTCAAGTGATCAAAGCGACACTAAGGACAACTTTCGTTGTGAATATCTACAGATTTTTATGTACCTCCTCTGAATTATTCATATTGCAATAAACCTTGTTCCCAATTTACTGATAAGATTTTCGATAACAAGAATAATGGTTAACCCATGGTTCAAACCGACCGAGAATTTCTAAAGTGGTTCGATCTGACCGGTGATCGGCCAGTTAAAAAAATCTTTTAGATCGATGGAAACTGGCAAAAAGTAGCTGATGCTTGGGTCACTATTAATTCGTTAATGGGAACATCTTCAAAGAGCATTCAGTTTCCATTTTTCGCCGAGAATTTTACGAATCTATGGGAGAAAGTATCATATGCTAGTCTTTAATATCTATTTATTTTCTCGAAGATGAATACATGAGATAACTCTATACACAGCAAAAAGAACAGTAATTTACTCATCAGCGAATTGCTACACTCTGAACCTTGAATTTTTCCATGCAACTTCTACAAAGAAATATAACTTTCCTTTTTAAACGACTTTTCAACTCTAAATTTCATCTCCAAAACAAACATCCATGAGATAAGTTCAACTCAAGTAACGCAGTCTTGATTGTACCATTTAGAAATCGAAGCACATCGATTAATATAAATGAAACAGTAAGAACGAATACAAGAAATAAAAACTTAATTTGTGAAACAACACTACTTGATTATTGTCATGATAACATCCCAACTTGCTCTCAGCAAGTTTTATCAGAAAAAAAAGCATGGCGTATTTATAAAACATTTTTCAACCAGTGAAAACTAGCCAGTCCGACTGGACCTGTTACATCACTGATAAAAAAATAAAGAAAATGAATAAAGAAAAATGTTTCAGTAGCTAAAACAGCCGATCTCTATCTTGTGTGCCTTGATATGCTAAGGGAGTTTCTTAATAAAAGTCTATTCATTATTCTTAGTCGCAACGGTTTAGTTTCAATTTACACAACTTCTATTCTTAAAACACAATAATGTAAACTCTTGTGGAACTCTACCGTGGCAACGGAATTTTCGACGGATCAGAGGTCTAAACAAAATTTCACACTTAGGTTTTGTCAAAGGATTTAATCTGGATATCAGATGTTACTGTCTTTATCGAAAAAATCTCATATGATAGATACTAATTATTAGCTTTGGAAAATGTCTCTCCTGATGTAACAATTACTATTAATATGTAAAGTGCTGGTAAAATATGTGTTTTGTATATTGAAAATTACGACAAATTATTCATAGTTATTTCAATAAAAGTTATCTGTCTATAACAAAAAACTATGTTTCACCTTTTGGCAATTTAAATTATTGTTTTGAGGATATAATTCCATTTGAGTACCTTGTACTAAGCTTCATAACTTGAAAATCATGACAATCATTAATTTCTTTTGTCTAAAATCTTTGACATTCAATAAAATGAATCTAATGTTACTGATCAACTATAGAATATTCAAACAAAGACTATCTTAAATTCTTTCATCATAATATCTATATCGTCATTTATAGAAAAGACTGAAATTTCGATGAAACAAATTTAAAAGAGAACTTAATATTTGTCAAAAATTGTAATACTTTCTTTAATTTAAAAGTTTGTATGGTCAATGAAAGTAGAGAATATTCATAACAGCTATAATTCGTTTTTTTACTGAGGTAGATGCTTTTTATCTAATGGAATTAATCGATAAATATAAAGTGAAAATAAGTATTGCCACGATATGTATGAAGATCTAGCCAAAATCAAAATGGACACAAATAATGGAAATGAATTAATTCGAAAATTAACTTTTTCTTGCATGTTTAAGAGTATTCAAAAATGACTGTAATAATTTTGAATATTTGTTATGAAGCAAACTATATGAAATAAAGTTTTCAAAAATATATCATAGTATCGAGAAGAATATGTAAATAGCTCGAACTATTTTAAACAGATTCACATTTTCTTCGTGATGGACTTAATGAATACGCTGTATTATGTATCCAACCTCATATCGCTGCGAGACGTTAGATCTAGAGAAAAATAGCCAGAACACAATAGTCTATGTAAATTCGACTTGAATTTGTTTCGATTCGTCTAGCGAAGACATCTATCGATGACGCGCAACAAATGCGATGCTTTCAATATGCTTGGTAAAGTCTAGATTGTCTAATGCCACTACTACTCTTTTTTTTCTGTCGACTTTTTCAGAGCATTATTCAACCGTTTATCGACGAATCGTTGACATTGTTAGACATTCACAATCAGAAAAATATATTACGTCGAATAACACTAGAAAATGTTGATTATCTTGAAACATGAGTAAATACTCAGCAGTACACGACAATCTATATCGATTGACTCTATTTGAGGTGCATATTCTAAATGCAACAGTCAGTGAAACAGACAAACCTATTAAGAACATTGCAGCGCAGAACACGCAAGAATTCTTACTTGTTCTATGCTTCAGTATTTCTATTTGGCTGATTTGTTTCACTGACTGTTGCATGTGAAATACGTACTTCTTGGATCATCAATTAATATAGGTTGTTGTATTCTGTTAAGTATCTGTTCATTTTTCAAGATAATCAGTTAATTTTGCTGGCACTTGATCTGAAATATTTTTCCGATTGTGAATATGTAAATATTACCATGATCTATCGATAAACAATTGAGGAATATCTTATAAAAGTTAGAAAAATAAACTATTGTTACTATGAAATCTGACTCTATGTAATGTTATCTTTTGGTTATTTTTTCTGCAAATACATAGATCATTTGCTCAATGGCATTGTTACGTTATTCTGTACCTCTATCAAGGCTTGTAGTCCCAACAGCTGTCTCCAATCGAGGAGCAGCAACAGTGCCTTCGAATACATCCCCCAATCGACACCCGACAAATCCTTCAAGTCAGACTGCCTCAGAAGAAGCGGTATTGACTAAAGTATCACCATACAAAACCGTTCCTGGCAAAAACTATGGCGATACCTATGCTGAAGTGGCTCTAGCTCGCTTAGATGACGTACAAAATTTGATTCGACGTGGTTCTATCTGGCCATTGACGTTTGGTCTCGCGTGTTGTGCCGTCGAAATGATGCAAATGGCTGCTCCTCGGTACTGTGATTGAAAATTTCACTTGAAAACTAAATATTGGATCTCTGAATTTTGATGATTGTTCTAGTTACGATATGGATCGATTTGGTGTTGTCTTTCGAGCTAGTCCTCGTCAGTGTGATCTCATGATTGTCGCTGGTACTTTGACTAACAAAATGGCACCAGGTAATTACTTCAAACACGTTTTGTGAACATGTTTTGTAAAGATCGAACAATGGATGTTACTTATGTTTTATACAATAGCTATTCGACGTCTCTACGAGCAAATGCCCCATCCAAAATGGGTTATTTCAATGGGTTCATGTGCAAACGGAGGTGGCTACTATTATTATTCGTATTCTGTGGTATGTAATTATGAACCGATTTCAAGCGAAAATTTATGAATTTTCATTTAGGTCCGAGGCTGCGATCGCGTCATTCCCGTTGATATTTATGTTCCGGGTTGTCCGCCAAGTGCAGAAGCCTTACTCTACGGTATTCTTCAACTACAGAGAAAAATTAAACGCCTCGATACGTTACAAAGATGGTATCGCAAATGAAACAGTTAATCTCAACCCTTTCACCGACAGCTATCTGACCTAGCAATAACCATAGTTGTTCGATCTTTGCTTTTTCCTTTTGTCTCCTTCTCTACTAGTCTTTTGTCGTTGAAAAAGCGTGCATGTAAATATTGAACAAAATTAAGGATATGTGTTTTTCAATTTTACGCAATTATATATTGTACTAGTCATAACCTTGTCAAGAATGGCTCAATCTCATTATATTTATGTAATATGTATTTCTTAGCAATGAAATAAATTTTGATCATTTATTCACTTATATAGATTTCATAAACAAGAGCATGTCGACGACGATGATTCATTTCAAGTGAGAGAGTACATACGAGTGTGAGTGTATGTGGTTTCTTCTATCTATATCCACATCTTTTACTAGATAAACAGCATCAAATAACTTCATATATTTGTTTTTAATATATCTCACAAGATTTTCATTATATATTAAACATATTATTTCAAATAATTGAAGCTTCAGTTGTTTGTTTTTGAAATTTATAAAACATACCATTATTTAATTCTTCTTCTAAATGTGAATCTCTGTTAGCTATATCTATATTGGTCATAATTTCTTCTCTCATTTCAATCTTCGGTTAACGATAGTGTTCATATTCATGGTTATAATTATCAACAATATGTTTCATTACTTCTGATAAAATAACTTGATTTGTCATTTCAGTAGTTATATCAACTGATAGTCGATAATTATGGTGGTCTAATGACATATGTTGACTTAAAAAAATATTTAAAAAATGATAGTATGATATATTCTTGTATATCTTAAGCTTATACATCATCTATTGCTATGAACTCTTAAGCAACTTTAAGAAGTTTTCATTTCATCATCTGTTGATTGAAATTTATAAATTATTGTAAGCATTACTTCACCAGTCTGATAATAAACATATGCTATTGTAATTAATAGAACTAAATAGTTTTAAGATATGCAGCATATTCTTAAATGAGGAAAAAGTAAAATTGTATAACTACTATTCGTAAGAAATCGTTTTATTATTATCCATAAAAATTCATCTTTCCTAGGAGTAGAACAGTGATAGTAAAAGATTGAAACTTCGCTATTGTTCCAATAGTTGGCAAAGTTTTGAAATCAATGTCGATTTATTAATTAATCAGTAAATCGTTATATTGATTAGTTTCTGAAACCACTAAAAAGAAAGATTGAAAGTGAAAACAAAGGTTAAAATAAAACGGTACCAAGATTAAATATAGTTTTTGACGACTATCATAGTTATACATTAATAAATATTCGAAATCAACATATAATCATTGAATCGTTTTATAAGTAGTATGAATAGAATATGGACAAAATCTTTTTAAGCTATTAAAAGATATAGTGTAATTTATAGAAGGATGAGTTGTTGATTAATCATATAAAGTGAAACATATCCTAATGTTTCGTACAATCACCTCCGTCGATTTATAAATTCTATGATGAAATAATAACAAAATTTGCATACTCGACAAAATATGTATTTTTTTTCTATGATTATGAAAACACTATCGAGCAATAATGTTACTATTAACATAGATCCATTCTGACCATTTCTATCGATTTTAGTGATAAAAATGTTCTATATTTCTAAAAGCAGTACGTCTATAAAGCTTTGATTAAACTAAAAGTAATGACACTAGCACTTTTATATCATATAGAAAGCTCGAAGCGAGTTTCTTTTTATATGCATTGATAATGAAAACAGTGCTCTATATTTCTTTGAAATTTTATCGTTCTTCAGTTGATATGATAATAATAAAATTTTGATCAAAACTGTTCATCTTTGTTTTAAATGCATAAGAAATATATTTTCTTTTGATAATAAAACGAGCAGCGTACTTCCTATTCAGCCAAAAATGATTGATAAGAAGCAATGTTATGTTTTTGATGACTAGGCTTCACCTTGAAGAAGTATTCAACAATGATTGAAAACATTTCGTCAAGTTCGACATAGAGTTGAAGACACAGTACAATCCTCAAGCTCTATAATTGAGACAACATGGAAAAATCATGAACATGTTCATTTTTTTTATTAATGGCAATTCTTATAGTACAACTGACGAATTACGAATGCAAGCTAGTTTGAGCCATAATTAAACAATGATACAATATGAAAGTAGTTTAAAACACTATTTAGATTGGCAGTATTTGTAAGACAAAATTTTTCCTCGAGTTATACTATAGTGTCGGTATCATTAATTTGGATTTACTAAAAGTAACTCCAATTAATCTGCTGATTCCTGAATGGCACATGGGACAAACTTATCTTCTTATAAAAAGTTAATCTTCACTTTTCCATGATATTGTTTGATTTGATTCTAAAATGATTCAATGTTAATGTAAATTTTAAGGATGAACATTGCTAAATCAAATCAATACATGTATATATTCTATAATGTAAAACAGCTGAAACAAATCCTTTTCTTGCTCTATAAGCATAAAAACTTGACTTTCTTTTCGTCCATATCGCAGAATCTAGCTGAAGGAACAAGCGGCAAACGTTGAAAAGAAGGGTTTTGCGCTAATTTTCTTGTAATATTCCACTGTAAAAGTGAGTGCACCGATCGCAGAAAATGGGTTCTGTTAGATCTGTTGATCATATCTGACAAAATGACAAATATATAGTTTTCCAAAGGAAGTGAATTTCCCGAATGCTACACACGTAAGTTCATGGCAAGTCAGTCTGACACATGCTTTCGTAGCATTTGTCTCGAACTAATAGCATACATTTTAAGAATGCGTTCCCGTTTTCAAATGTTTTGACACATTCGATAAATCTTAATTAATTGAGCAAAAGTCGCCATAAATTCAAAACCCCAACATGGCTTCTCTAGGAAATATCGGAGTCACAAGTACCCTTATCCATTTCCAAAAAGAATGTTGGTGGTTGTGTTTTGAATAGATTTGTAATAGGAACGACGAAGAGAGCTAAGGTTCTCACTATTCAAGAGTGAACAACCGAGATAATTGACGAACATCGAAATCTGTCTGTTAAGTGATTAATCCATCAGATGAATTTTTACAGAGCATATCAGAAATGAGAGCTTAAAATCATTTTCCATTAAGTTGTCATGTGTAATATGACTTATTGGTAGAGAAAGTCTTGTCTTTCGACTTGCGTAAACTTCAACTCCTTAGCTGTTTTGGTTCAAGAGTTATAAGGACTTCTCTGAGATCTCACTCCGATTTCAGCAAAATAAGCTTGAAAGACACTTCAAAAGAGTTCCAAACAGGCATAATTCATCAAGTTGAGCCACTTGGTAATGTTTGTTTCGAGTTTCTAAGTAAGTTGAGAGCACTATTTGCACATCTTCAAACGTTTGACTTTTATGCTGTACAGAAAAAATTTTTGAAATTTCAAAAATACTGGGTTAGTGGTCTTAGGTCACTTTCAACGTGACAACAAACATTACCACTCAATTCAACATAATCAATGACTTATGGCTGGAGCCATTTTGAAGCATTTCAAGATCATTTTGTTGAAATTGAAGGTCTCAAAGGAACCTTAGTAACTTTTAAAGGAAAGTGGCTAATAGGTGGTTGTTTACATAGATCGAAAGCGATAACTTTTTTCTATCGATCGGCTACGTAACACTTCAAAATCTAATAGAAAATGACTTGAAGTCTCTTTTTTTTCAAAATCTTCACTAAGAATTGATCCAATGAATACATTACTGACCAATTAGATTTGCATTACTTCAATGATGGCAAGTTTTCTCTCTTGGACGGTGAAAAATCCAGCTCTCTCTCTCCGTCACTCGTATCAAAAGCTATTCAAAAAAACAATCACTAGCTTTCATTTTTTCAAACGAATAATGGAGAAATAATCCTAAGCATCCTTTCTACCATCATTCAAAAACTCATCCGACTCAGCTGAAGCTTTTATCTCGACAGCGAAAATTAAATTGAGTCGTTGTTCTTTCCTTTCTCAGTAATTATTCTCTTGTATTAGAAGAATTGCAATAGTAAGAGAATTCTCAAAGCAGCTTGATTTTTGAATCTTTTTCTATTTGATCTTATTTACTACAGAAAAACTTGCAGCTCTTTCAGATTGATCGTTTAGGGAAAAAAAGCAAAAATGTAAGATGTGAACAAGATTTTGTGGTTCCTTTTCTCTCACACCCATAGACTTACTGAGCTGAAATCTTGTCCAAATACAATCGTTTGTTTTAGAAACAAAAGAAAGTCAAAAGAAAATGTACTATAAAGAAATTTTCTTTTAAATCTTTATCTTGTTCAATTTGCGAAATCCTACATGTTTCATCAAACAATGATTGACGAAGTTCTAGAATAAAGGTGTACTTTTGATGAGCTCAGTGTAGTCGCTTTTAATAAACCAAATAAATAAATCATATAGAAGATGAAACATTTGTCCTACTTCATCATAGATTAATTTTTTAACGTTCTCATCATCATCATTATCATTCGATTCTATTTGATTGTATTTTTGCGTCGGCATTTTTCGTTGTCTACACTAGCACTTCTAATACTTCTCGATTCTCTCTTGCCGTCTGTTTTTCAACCATTTTTGTTAATTGATTGTATAAATCATTTTATAGCTTCAAATAAGTTAAATCTTCAATTGTTATAAATTAAAACTTTATATTTCACGTAATTATCTCATTCATAATCTCTACATTGATACTTTTTTTTGTATATCTGGTGTTCTTCCATCTAAAAATGATTAAACAAAAGTAATTTTTAATCAATTATGACAAACTAAATAATTTTAGAAAAATTAAATAATTCATCATAATGCATCTGTTGAATGTTAAATAAAATATCAAGAATCGCTTCATGAAAGTGATAAAGAAATATTTTATGCCTTTTTTATAACAGTATCAATACTATGTTTAAGAGCAATCAGATCGTATGATTGTTAATATTATTATGATTTAAAGATTTTACAGATTGAATAAAAAAACAATCAATATAATAAAATTTTTGGGTTCATTTACATTTTTTCTTCTTA